CTACGTGTACGAGCGCGAAATTTCACATGCACTATTTTCGCCGGTCGCTTAGCTGGCGGAGGGCAAGTGATTGTCGCCTCACCGCACAGGCTCCATAGGAAATGAATGGAGAGCGAGCGACGTCGCCTCACATGTGTCGAGCCCTTTAGGGCTGAAGTGTCTTGCCCAAGGACATAACAACTGAGACAGCTGGATGGGGGATCGAACCTGTGACCTTCTGGTTCCAGGACAGCTCCCCTAACCCCTCTGCCACAGCCGCCCCTGTTACTGCTGTAAAATGTACATATGTGTGATCTTGTTGTGAGTCTGTCACTGTGTGCGTACAGCAGGTTACAGAGTATGAAGTAGATGTGATTAGTGTGATTATTGGTCTATAACTGTCCAGTGTTTGTCACTTATTGATGATCAGTTCATATCTGGTGTCTGGGTTAGTTTCTACATGTGCATCTTTGTGTGATGGATTTAATTTGATTTATCTTCACAGGCTCAAGTGTTAGGGGCCGGCTACCCCAGCCTTCCCACCATGACGGTGAACGACTGGTACGAGCAACACGCTAAACATGGAGTCCTGCCTGACCAAGGGGTTCCTAGGAAAGTTGCTGTCGAGGACAACACTGATGCAGAAGAAAGGGAAAACGAAGAGAAAGAAAGAAAAGATGAAAATGACGATGAGTCGTCTTTACTGAAGGCCAGAAACTGGGATGACTGGAAAGATACTCATCGTAGGGGCTATGGAAACCGACAAAATATGGGCTAGCTGTTCTTCAAGAAAGTGTTTGTCCAAACAGTCCAGCTTCTGGTGAATTTTATATTTGATTTCCCAGGATGTGGATAATCTTCCCTCTGTAGTTTCTGGACAGTTAGTGTTCTTCTTCTGTTTATTTACTAAGATATAGAGCTTAACATGCTACATGATTGTTGCCAACTGTATGTCTGTCATCAAAAATGTAAAAAAATAAAAATTAAAAAAAAACAGGCAAATTTCACAAGACTATTGAATTGTAGATGGAAGAAATAAAGACGTGCAAAAAGGAGACGTGTCTGTAGAGAATGCCTTCTGAGTGTATTTTAAGCCATGTTTCATTTTACATGGTTTGGTTGATAATCCTCTGGTAATGCCATATATGTAATTTAAACATATAATAGCGTGAATGCTATTATTATTCTTTCAATATTAGTCCTGTTTCTTCTGGATGTTTTTTGGCCTCGATCTCCTTCCACAGTTTTTTGAGCTATTTCAGCATTTTTAGGTATCAAAACGTTCAGCTTGTTACAGATATTCCTGCTATGTCTCTTGGTATTGATAGATTTTACATTTTTTGAGATATGCAGCTTTTTAAGCAATCTTTTCTCTCATTGAAATATATTGCAATTTCTTGAAAAATCCTTCGTCTCACTGCTTTAAAAGTTTAATTACTTCTGCAAACTTGCACCTAGGAAGGCCATTTAAACTTCATACTCAATTATTACAGAATGATTCAGGTTTTCGATATCTTGAATCGTTCTTGTACAATCAGTGTTTCAGTTTGTGAAAGTTTGGGTTTTTCTTGTGTCTTGCTGTGGTGATGGGATGTTCAGGGCTCGTATTTATCAAACTTAGAGTGGATTTTTAGCTGAAAATTTCTTAAATTTACTCCCAACTCTCAGACTTAACGGTAAGTGTAAATACCAGTTATCAACACTCTTCGGTCTAAGAATCACTCTTACTCTCCCAGGTATTTAAGACTGCTCCAGAGGACTCAGGTTTTCTCAGTTGCTAAAACATTAAACCCAGTTTAAACCAAACGTTCAGTTCCTTGAACTCATTTATTAAAATGGCCTGCACCCTGTTATCAGAACTCTCAGCATGTTTCACCCAGTTAGACACAACATGCAGATCTATTTTCACCAACTAAAACACGTTTTTCTCTTTGATTCACGTGGGTTCCAAAATAATTAGCACAAGCAGCAAAAGTGAGACACAAATAAAGCACTGCTGTCTGAACTGAAACACAACAACTCAAAATAGATCACACTTGTTTCTAATGATGTGAACAAACCAGTACAAACCAGTACAAGGAGCCCTGGGGCCTATTTCACAAAAGTGAGATTTCTAAATTCAGGATAGGAGCTGTAAGCTGAGCTTGAACTAGCCTTCAACTTGTAAACAGCCGTAATCAGTTCTAACACCAAGCCACGCTCAGGGTGGTTCATTCAAGCCAGCTGTAAATAATCTGGGATTAATGCATGTTCATGGTTTGTTTACTAGACCCACTGGGTGGATCAAAGATTTTCTTGTCATATTATTTTAAAGATTATTTTAAAGGTGAAGCTGAGGTTAAGACTTTTTTTAATTAGTCTTTTTCATGGATAAATAAATAAAATAAATATATTTACTCTGTAATATTTTAATGCAAAGAAAAAAGAATAAATTTAATAAG